GCCGAAGCGCGCCCGCCCCAGCCCGAGCGCCCGCGCCCCTCGCGTCCTCCCCCGAGCGGGCCGCCGGAGTTTTTAAAGTGGGCCGGCAGCCACCGGAGCACGACATTCGGGAGCGCCTCGCCGCACTACGCCGTCGTCCGCCGCGCTCCCGCCCCAGCTCTCCTGAGACGGCCGTACAATCCTCGGCAGTGTCCTGAGACTGTATGGCCCCAGACTCCTTCCACTGCCCGTCGTTCGAGCCGCTTCTTTGAAAACCCAGACAAGTGCCTCCTCTTCGAAGGAAATAGGAACTTCGATTCTCTTCTCGCTGTCCTCTTTTCGCGTCTGACAGCGTCCTCCCACTCCTTTCTCCGACCCCGCCTCTGCGTGCAGGTTCCTCCCCGTCACCTTTCTCCACCCCCCGACCTGCACCTAGCCAGCCGCCCGCAAACTGCCACCTGAGTGTGCGGGGCGCTCGGGACCTGCCTGCACTTAGGACCTTTAACACCCGCCGGCCTCAGGGAGCGGACAGGGACCACAGCGAAGGCAGCGGCTGCAGCCTCCACCAGCTGGGGAGCCCAGGTGCTCGGCGTCCCAAAGGGCCACAGCGACAATGACAGCTGACAAGGAGAAAAAAAGGTAAGCGAGCGTCTGAGCTGGCGAGGGAGCTGGTCCGAAGCAATAGCCGGGCTGCGTGGGGCTGGCTCAACCGAGAGCGGTTGGGAGAGCAGTGCGGAGAGGTCTTCGAGGCCCGAGGATCGGTTCCGAGGGTTTTAAGGGGGAGAGCAGGTGCCCACTCTGGGGACGCGGAGCTGCGGCTTCGTAGTGGAGAGTTCTGTGGGTCGGAGTTGCGAATCCGCGTGTGCAGCGAGGCCGGGAGGCCGACGGAGATGGCCTTGGAGGTCGGAGGTGCTCCCGCGGTGCCTTCCAAAATCTCCTGTCCCCGCGCACCAAACTGCCACGGCCAGCACGTTGAAATGTTTGGGGGCTGATGCCCTCGACTTTCTCGGGTCTAGCATGCGGGGGCAGCATCCAAGCCTCTCTTTTCCTCCGGACCTCCAGGCTCCTTCCAAACGTGCGCCTTTGCTCGCGCTGTGCCCCAAACTTGGCAAGGGTCGGAGGCGGAGCGCGGCTCCGGGATGCGCCCCCGCGGAGGAGCCCGGACTCCTCCAAGGGCCCCCGCCGAAGCTTAGAGAACCCCCTTCCCTCGCCCCGCACTTTGACTCCGCCGGAATGGGGAGTGACCTGGATTGCCCTGCGGGGGCAGATGTCTCAGTGTGCAGGGAGGGGATGGCGACACCGGGCGCCCTCGGCAGGTCTGTCTCCTAAGAGGACTGAGAAGGGCAGCCGCGATCTGCTCGCTTGCCCTCGCGAGCCTCTCGGCACTGGATGAGAGGCAACTCCGGCCAACTCGCGCCGCCCTCCCTGCTGCTCCCGGTCCGGCCGAGCCCGGCGGTCTCCGAACGAAGGTGGAAGCGCACGGCGCGGCCGCGCGGAAATGGGTACGGCCTCCCCTCCCGCAAATGTGCGCGGCTCGCCGCCTGGCCCCTCGCTCCTCCCGTGCTGCCCCAGCGGGCTGGAGCTTCCAGCCCCGCGCTCGGCGGCAGCTTGGTAGGATTGGGTTGCAGGGGACTGGAATCGAACGCGCGGCCGGCTGAGTGGTCTGAGCCGCGGTGAGCAGCCGTGAGGTGGTGCGGCGATGGAAGGACCGTGCCGGGAAGGGAGGGGGACTGGCCCGGAGGGCTCGGTGCCCGGGTAGATTTGCTCTTGTTCCGACTTCCACTTCGGGACGTGAGCCAGAAACTGTGTGTCCTCCTGTCGAAAGCGGCGGTTCCCACCTCGGGACACCGATAAGGGTTTGATAACTGGGAGCGAATCGCGCCCGTCCTGGCCGGGCGCCCGGGCCCTTCACTCCCGGATCGCTAGGGGGAGGGGATTGAGCCCCGCTCCCCCTTCATGGCCGCAGCCCCCTCCTGTGTCACCGTCGCGCCCGCACGCCTGAGACAGGCTAGGGAGGCCTGAACTGCGGCCGGCGCGCCCCTGGGACCCTCGGAGCAGCCCGGGGGTCCTGTGTCTTTTGAGGGCAGCAGAACAAGGAAAAGACTTAGAGATTCCAACTCATTTTGTAAAACCAATCGTAATGCCAGTACTAATGACGGAACAATTAAAAAGCAGAGTTAAAGACAGCCCCTCTGCGAGTGCCGTCGACCCCGGAGCCGGCGAGGGGACTTCTTTTACAACTGCGATGCCTATTGGCGAATGTCGCAATCGCTCCGAGGTGGGGCCTGATGGTAATCTTGACACTTGTATGAAGTGCCATCTTCTCCCGCGCGCCTCAGCGCCGGGTCCTGTGCTATGATTACAGTATGTTAATGGTCGCGCGAAACTTGGGAGCAGGGGAAAAATGGTTTCGACACACCCGGCTACAGTACCTCCTTGGTTAGAGGGCTGGGAGAGGAATAGAGGGAGCGGGAACGCGAGCAGGAAGGAAACTGCGTAATTAGACCTAAAATTATTGGCGAGAGCGGCCGCTTTAAGAACCACTGCGGGGACTGCCTGCGAAACGCCTGGGAGGCCGCTCCGTGGTGGTCGCGCCAGGGTGTCCGCCCTATGGGACCTGCCTGGATTCTGTGCTGCAGAACGGCAGGGCAAACAGAGTGTCCCTCGCCATCAAGAGTCCCATGAAGGATTGTCCAATTCCTATTGGACTAATTGTTTCGAGACTCACTGTCTTTTGGCGTTTGGCTGTTTGCTGGCTTCAAGTTTCTTGAGGGACCAAGATGTAATTAAAATGTGAACCAATACATCGAAAGTTGATGTTGTCATGTAAGTGGCTGTCCCTGGCTTTCCTGGAGAGCCTCACAAGTGCAGTGTGGCACTGAGGGGGGCTCTCCACTACGATCTTGCCCACCAGATCTTAAAGATTTGTGTTTCTTTCGCTTCCGCAGAGCCATTTCTTCCCCAAAACTCAAGATGCATGGAACATTTGCAATATACCTTCTAACAATAGCCCCTTGAGAAGTGGTTAGGATTATTTTGTTCCAAGACATTCATGCGTCGATGGATATGTTAATGTTTCATAATAAAGAGTTTGCTTTATTAACGCTGCTGGCCTCGATAGACAGTACCAAAGTGCACTCTTTTGGTGATAGTGAGCCTTTTCAGTGACATCAGAGATGTCAGAAACTGAAGCTTGGTAGGATACTGCACTTTCACTCACCTTTTTCTGCGTCCATCTATCAGGTCGCATTAACCAGCCAGGGTTCCGGATTCTTGAAAGAGCTAGAAAGTGTCTGGGTGACTCATGTCCTGATAATTTCAGAGTTCCTTCTCTGGAAGAGAAAAGTGTGTGGAAGTTCTTAGGTGTGTGGGGATTGGAGAGTGCTTTATGTAAATATAAATGACATCCTTGGATAATCGGGGATCAAAGTTCAGTCCCAAAGCCAGACCCAGGTCTGAGCACCTTTCAGGAATGCTTATATTGCTTAGTTGCAGGGCAGGGCCAGCAATGGAAGGGGAATTGGAAGCATCTGAACCAGAAGTTTTCAAACTATCTCCCCCTCCCACTGCCAGCTGGACTTAGTTGTTCCTCTGCTAAAATAAAACCAAAGACCATCTTTTTTCCCCCAACTCTGAAGAGAAAAAGATTGCTGGATAGTTTTTCTCAATTTAATCATATTTTAAATAAATATTTCTTCAGTATTTGGTATCTGTTTCCATTGCATTACCAGAAATACAGGATGATACAGAATTGATATCACATTATTGGTTCAGGTGTTTAAATTTTAATTCATACAGCTTTCATGAAGTTCAAAAGAATGCTGTGGCATCAAGGTTTTTCAGCGTTGCTGATGAGGAGCTTAAAATTATTTTATAGGAAATCGTGGAAACCATCTAGTCAAATGTTTCTTTTTCTGGATAAGGAAACTGAGGCCCAGTGGGGTTAAATGACTCCTCCAGTCACAAGGAAAATTAGTGCTGGTAAGAATCAGAACCCTGGTTCGTATTTTCAATTAAGTATGTACTTTCCTATTGTTCACAAAATAGTACCCCCAGCCCTAAAATGCCTTCAGACAGTGAGAATGATTTCCAAAGGGTTAGAGTGTCACACCCTCCTCTCCAAATCACTATATCTTGTATGAAGGAGATTAGCTTTTTTAGATAATTATAAACGCCTTCAGACTGCAGTCAGAGAGATTGGTACTGGTCCCAGCATCTGTAAACTTTGGGAGGTATGAGTACACCGTTTTAGTGCTCACCCTTTAGTTAGAAAAAAATCTACTTATATAGGTAGACCTCATTAAATAAAACCAATGCAGGAGCAGATTGCTTAGTAGAGAACTTTCAAGCAGCTACTAGACTGATTCTTATACTGGGTGAGTTGGCATTTTTGAAAACCATGAGACTAAAACAGTTTAATTTACTTAGCATGTAAATCTCTGTGTGTGTGTGTGTGTGTAGGGTGATTCTCAACTTTCTAGGAATGTATTGTGTAAAGAATTTAGGAATAGAATGAGCTAATTAGATAATTCTTAGTGTTCCAGGATTTTATTAACCCAATACATTTGAAAATACTTGGTCTCATTAATTATCTCAAGATTTAAGCTTTTCCACTTTTCAAGAAATCTATTCTGTCCAGTAGTATTTGCTTTTTTATATTTTCCCCAGTTCTGTCCTATACCACCATGATAGTTTCCCTTTTCATTTTAGCCTAACAAATCTTCCCCTTTTGCTTTTAGTGCTGACGACTATCGCTGGTAGTTCATAACAGGTCGGACTTTTTTACCAATATTGTAAGGCTAGCAATGTCTGCTCCCAGTGCCCTAATACCCTTTACTCCCACCCCCTATCCCCAGTACCATGTTGCTTATTTTCATGATGAAAACTAGCTCTGATATTCACACCAAGATATGAATCAGTAAGACGACAAATGTGTTTGGAACACCTGCTCCTAATCGGGATAAAATGCTGAGGAGAAGACTAAGAAATAGGGGATGTGGTCCTTGTCTTTAAGTTGCTTAGTCTGGGGGGGGGGGGAGGACACACAAGGAAGTTTAACTGGAAATATAAGTAGCTGGCAGGTTACATGTAATTTTTCTGTAAGCATCAAATATTATGAAGCTAAAAATATGAAGCTCTGAGTAGCATTTTAGGTAGTAATCGCACAATTATTTAAGAGTACCGTGAGGCAGCAGGGGGAGTTGGTTCCTCATGTCCCTGGAATCACACCCGGTAGGTACTGACCACTAGCGTAAAGACTGGCTCTGAGGGAAGGTCAAATGGGGGAAGTCAGTGTTTGGGGGTAATTGGAGTAAAGAAAACATGGAGGGTTCGAGTATTCCCTATCATGTACTTTGACACTATAGACAGAAAGGTCTCCAAAATGGAATGTTTGCTGTTCTTTACACACATGCTTTGGGTGAGGGGCCTGGAGGGAGGAATCTGCTAGAGCTCCATGAATGAAAGGAGTAGATGTTTATGGTTTCACTGAGGATAACTGTGGAGACAGCTTGGACTCCAGGGAAGTCAAGAAGGGAGAGAGGGCTTCTTAATCAGCCTTTGTAAACAGGCTTTAGGGGGTGGTCTCTGAACCTGTAAAATTGTGTGCAAGGTATGTTTTCCTAAAGGAAGTCTCTCTA